AGATCTAATTCATCTGACTTAACCCCAGGCGTATCTTTCATCCACTCAGCGGCCTCTCTACTTTTGAGTTGACATCAACCTAGAAATGTGATTAACAACGAAAGGGTAGAGAAAGGAGAGATTGCTTGTGCTAAGAATAACTGAACTGGAAAAGAGATAGAAGAGGAGGTTAGCTCTTTGCAGCAAGCTGACAAAAAGAGTAGGTTGAGAGTGATTTAGAATAGATTATATACCATCCAACTGTTCCTACTGTTTCTTTTTTTTTTTTTTTGGGTCCGGTCATGGGGCTGAACTCTGGGCCTGGGCGCTGTCCCTCAGCTCTTCAGTTCAAGGCTAGCGCTCTACCACTTGAGCCACAGTGCCATTTCCGGCTTATTTCTTTTTGTTTATGTGGTGCTGAGGAATTGAACCCAGGGCCTCATGCTTGCAAGACAAGCACTCTACCACTGAGCCACCTTCCCAGCCCTCCTCCTGTTTCTTGCAAGTGAACTTCAATCATATCATGTTATCTTTTGACTTAAGAGAGGATAAAATGGTCCTGTAACTGCTCATATTCAAATTATATCCTTGTGGATGAGAGTCATAACCACAAGACCACAGTCCTCAGAAACTTGGTCAAAATTATGCTCAGCTGAGGAAGGACAAAGACACTGATATCTTTTCTTGTGTGCCAGTTGTCAAGGTTGAACTAAGGATTGTGTGCTGTACCTAAAGTTTTGTTTCATTTTGCTTTGTGGGTTTTTTTTTTCCACCTAAAGCTGGCATGCTACCACTTGAGGCACAGCCTCAATTCTAGCATAATTGGAGATAAGAGTCTCACAAACTTTCCTACCCAGGCTGGCTTCAAACCACAATCCTCAGATCTCAGCCTCCTGAGTAGCTAGAGTTACAGGTGTCAGGCCCCTGTACCTGGCTACTTTCTACCCTTTTGAAGCTCCCAATTTAGGAATGATGTTGCTGATATGGAGATAAACATAAAGGGCAGAGAATAGACAATAAATATAGCAAATAAATACACTGTATCATACATTTGATGGAGGAGATAAGCATTATGGAAAAGAGGAAAAGTAGAATGAGATAAGAGGATTACAACTACAGGTGAATATGGGGGGTGCAATATTGAATAGTGTTATGGAAGTGAGTTTCACTAAGAAGAAAATGTCTGAACAAGGACTAGAGAAGGTGAGAGAGCTTGCCAACCATACTATGGGAACAGTCTTTCAGGCAGAGAAAACATCTAGAGTAATAACTCAAAGGTACACAGTGCCTGGGCTGTTCAAGGAACAATGGACTTTTGTTAAATGAATGAATGAATGAGCTAGAGGAGAAAGTAAGGCTTATCCTAACGGTGGAGAAGCAAACATTAGAAGACAATAATTATAATACCTAGTGATTCAGCTTACAAAGTCCTTATTCGTTTTACAAAGTCAGCTGAATGACATCATGAATAACTGGGCTAGGCAGTATGATTTCCTTTTTGCAGATAACATTCAAGGTTCCAGATAACATCCACTCAGTGATTGTATCCACATTCTACCTACAATGTTTTAAATAAATAACCTGATCCCAGTGTCTAGTGCCTGAGTCATTTTCTCTCTATCAGGAACCAAATTTTCTATACCCAAGATTGTGCATGTCTGCATAGAGGTCAGAGACACCTCTATTCATGAATCGGCTCTATGCCTTACGTTCTGGGATAGGGGAACTCATAGTTGATGGGTTATTCCCCGCTGGAGGATAACCCTGAATGTCAATATCTGACAACCATTAAATGTCTAACACACCTTGTTTAGCCATAAAGCTACCTCATGGCCACAGATGGGAAGAATATAGAGTAGAGAATAATTTATTTTCCCCATGTGTCACTCCAAAAACAAAATAGTATTGTGTATTTAGATTTCAGAATAAAGACTACTTCAAGACTTGTAGGACCAAAATAGGTGAGAAAAAAAATCTGAAACTCAAATGGATTAATAAAACTGAAGAGGCCGCATTCCCAAGCATAGAACTTAAGAAACAAGATTAAAATAAAAAATACAAGATTAAGATAAAATATACAAATCTAAGCATGGTCAAGATTTGATTGGATCTGGATCCCTAGCTTTCTGCTCTAGATTTTTATGGGTTTTTTTTTTCCTCTTAGTTTTTTTACTGTCAGATAACCACATACAAGCCCTAGCCCAGAGGTTACATACATATATCAGAAATTCTGCTATGAATACTTAAATAAAAATTTCAGGATTCAGAACCACTCGAACCTGAGGCTGTTTATGTTCTCAAAACTTAATTTTAAAATCCTTAATTATTTCAGGAAGAAATTTAATAAGAAGCTATTTTAAGCAACAAGTTTCCAATCCACGTCAGCAGCCCTGCAACATAAGGAAACATTCTGGTGTTCAGGGCGATGGCTGCAAGACTGACCCCAAGACCAGGGTGGGTGCGATGTGGGAGGGGTCTGGGCCCCAGCTTGCCCCGGAAAACCCTACTCAGCTAGCATGCAAACTGCTGGTTTGGTTTTGTTTTTTTGTAAACTACAGTAGTTTACAAAAGTTTGAAAATGCTGAATGTGTGGACATTTATGAGCCACTTCTCCATGAAAATTTATGAGTTCTTGCCCAATCCTTAGTGGTCACATGCCTTTCTTGTGACTTTGCTTAGTGACCCTTGTTTCCCAAGCCCCAGAGGAGCTAGAAGGGGAAGGGGGCTGCCTCTTCTACTCCTTCCAGAGCCCCTGGTCATCAAGTGTGTGACTCCCAGTCAACGGAGACCCTCTCTTTTCCTGCCCCTGTGTGGGGTCACTCAGCGCTGTGTTCACTTCCCATCCCATCCCCCCATCCGATGCCCATGAGAAGAAGATTCATTTTCCTGAGAGTCTCTTCCAATTCCTCTTGTTCTCTGGAATTCCATATTACTCCACACTGATGAGGAAGTTGTGGTGATTATAGAGAGGAAGCAGGTGCTTTCAAATCAATCCAAGACATACATTGAAGCACTCTTTATGAATAAGAGATTCTTCTCGGCATGGTGAGGAAAACAGAAATCCACAGGTGAGAAAAGTCCTGAGAAAGCAAAGAGGATCAGTGGTGAACAGTGAAAAGGAAGGGAGGTGGAGGAAGGCCAGTGCTTTCAAACTCTACATCTCACGTAACTATTGTCAAGGAGGGAGGTTGGGGAAGGAGCCGAGAAGTTATGGAGATAGACCAAGAGTGGTAGGGATAACACAAATGGTACCCAAGACAGTTTGATGTGGAACATGACTGCATCTTTCACCTGATAGCCATACATCTCTTTTACTGTGGAAGAAAGGTTAAATTACTATCTTTCAAAACTGAATGTATAAGTACATGGGTGGATGCATACATAAAGAATAAACTTGTGGCACCTACCCCCACTGAGCAAAGATGTGCTCCCATTGAGAGGAGAAAGGGTGATTAAAAATAAGTCCCCACAGTCAGCCTTGGTCTCTTGCCAGCCCCCACCTCATCTTGAATGTTCCGACAGGGTCCTGTCGATGGGCAGGCTCTGCACAGGGCAGGGAGTTGGCTCATTGTCCATCTGTGAAAGAAGTCATCTTGGGCAAGGCTCTCACATCCTAGTCTTGGATGAATATGAAGTGGTTTAGCACTAGCATTTCAGGTAACACAGCAAAGGCAAAAGGGGGAGTCACTGGTAGCCTGGGAGAGCCAGTGAGTACTTATAGTACTGCACAACTGCACACAACTAGTGTTAGATACTCCCCCCTCTGCCGTGGGAGCAAGGTGTGTGCAGGCATCAGAAGCACTTTATGACCTGCAATTAAGTAAGAAAACCTGTTTTTTCAAAAGGCCATTGAATACTGTGTACCTATGTATGGAACAGGGGTCTTTGTCTGATAGGATGATATGACCAGGAGAAAACAACTGTTTACATGGTAAAGAATGTCTGTTTTGGGGCTGGGAAGTTGGCTCAGTGGTAGAGCGCTTGCCTTGCATGCCTGAGGCCCTGGGTTCGATTCCCCAGCACCACATAAGCAAAAAGAAAAAAGCCGAAGTGGTGCTGTGACTCAAGTGGTAGAGTGCTAGCCTTGAGCTAAAGAGCTGAGGGACAGCGCCCAGGCCCAGAGTTCAGGCCCCATGACCGGACCCCCCAAAAAAAACAAAAACAAGAAGGTCTGTTTCACACGTCCTGTTTGATATTAATCACTGGATTGATTGCCACACCCAGCTAACTCAAATAATCTGCTTGGAGTCACTGGGTTTTTTTTTTTAAATGTTTTTTTAAATGATGATTGCTCAGGCAATTCGTTGCTAATCAAGAGGATGTTATAAAACGTGAGTCAGACAGCCTCCAGCTCTCTGGAAGTTCTAGGATATAAAGACAGAACTTCCCAGCTCAGACTAGAATAGAAGGCAATAGGGAGGCATTGACTGGTTTTCCCGAATGAAGATTGAGGTCAGCATGCCCCACTTTTCTTCTGCTTCTGCTCTGCGGTGCGGGATCTCACAGCTTCCCTGTGGCTCCAGAAACCCAACAGCAAGATGTGGAGACAGTCCAGGTAAATGCTGCCCTGCACACAACACACTAGGAACACAAGTCTTCAGTCTGCATTTTTCTACCATAGTATAGTAGTAGCTAAAGACTGATTTCCTTTAAAGACAAATGCTTTTTGTCAGCAACAGAATGCTCCTCAAAATGCATTCACCCAAGCACAGGCTCCCTCTTTTCCAGGCAGAGGCTAGAGGGAACTGAAGAGGCAGGGTGCAGCACTCACCTTACAAATCGTAGATGTGCAACAGTCCTGCTCTACAAAGTCTGCTGTACTATGAAGCTCAAGCTTCTTCGTAATTAAGGGTGGAGAGATTTCTGCTCTGAAAGTACATTTTCCCACAAGAATAAGAACAACAAATATCTACACGAAAGCTTTAAAAGTGGCTCTCAATTTTGGCTTAAAAAATGCTGTCAATTTTTTAAACTGAGAAATGTTTTCCATTTAGTGCTTCAATTATTTTATCTTTTATCAGAAATACCTGGAAAAATACTATGATTTGAAGGATGTGGGGACACACATTGAAAGGCGCAGAAACAGTGGTTCTGTGGTTGAGAAGCTGAAGCAAATGCAGGAATTCTTTGGGCTGCGAGTGACTGGGAAGCCAGATGCTGAGACCATGAAGGTGATGAAGCAGCCAAGATGTGGGGTGCCTGACGTGGCTCGGTTTGTTCTCACCCAGGGGAACCCTCGCTGGGAGAACACAGATCTGACTTACAGGTAATCAGACGGAGAGCATGATTTGCCATTAGAGAAGTAGGTACGAAATTGGGTCTAATGATTTCCGTTTCACTTTATTTCCTATTCTGTATTTCACTTTGTTTTAAGGATCGAAAACTACACGCCAGATTTGTCCAAAGCAGAGGTGGACCACGCCATAGAGAAAGCCTTTCAACTCTGGAGTAATGTGACACCCCTGACATTTACCAAGCTCCCTGCCGGCCAAGCAGATATAATGATATCCTTTGTCAGAGGAGGTAGGCTCTTCTTCACCCTGCCTTTAAATCTCTTCAGATTGCAGCTAGATTTTCTTGTTGATAAGCACTAGATTTTATTGAGCTAAGGAGAGAAGGTCATGCACACTGCATAGAAGTGGCTTCTTAACAAAGCTAATGGTTGTCCTCCCGAGTTTGCCTCAGAGGAGAGCTAAAGGAGCTGTGGATGACTTTGGTTTTTTGTTTTGTTTTGTTTTTTGGCAGATCATCATGACAATTCTCCTTTTGATGGATCTGGAGGAAACCTGGCTCACGCTTTTCAACCAGGCCCAGGTATTGGAGGGGATGCTCATTTCGATGAAGATGAAAGGTGGACCAACAATTACAGAGGTAAGTCAGCTGGTTTTGCTTGTTTCGATTCACCCTTCATGCTTTACTGTAATACTGGTTGATTTGATAGATTCATGAGTAGAAGGAGGCACTTTTCTGTTACTGCTCAGAAAGTTAATGGTACATTTAGAAAAGAATAACAGAGGATCTTTTCTGCTAGTTTCTATCTATTAATTTAGCAACAAATAGAATGCTCTAAAATTCCTATTAAGAAATTGTTAAAATTTTTCATTTTTTTAACTTGTGGACACCTAAATGGAATTTACAGTTTAAAGGAGGAAAGGCAGCTACATATTTATGGTTTTGTAAATAAGGGAAAATGTTAAATGTTAATATAACTTCATTGCTTCTCTGTGAAATAAAATGCACCAGCTAATCATTAACAAGACTGACTCATCTGTCTTACACTCTCAGGCAGTAAAGCTGTCCTGATCCCCTCAGTGTAGTCCTACACTTCAGGCTTGACTATGTCTCTTCATTATTAATATATTATTAATATAGTAATATATTAATGCCTCCCACCTTCAGAAAAACAATGTTATATGTGTGTGTATCTCAAAAGAAAAAGAAAACATGTTCCTTAGACTCTATAGAGTTGTAGATTGTTCCTGCAACATCTCAAAACTGACACATTTTAAATAATTGCAAATGGGTTTATTGACCATTTTAGATTACAATTTGTATCGTGTTGCTGCTCATGAACTGGGCCACTCCCTTGGACTCTCTCACTCCATGGATATTGGGGCATTGATGTACCCCAACTACATCTTCAGTGGAGATGTTCAGCTAGCTCAGGATGACATTAACGGAATCCAAACCATATATGGTGAGTAAGAGGAAAAACATCATGAACAACGCTCTACCTGTCTTCATACCCACTTCAGACAAAGTACCCCTTAACTTGTGTAGCTCTCCAACACTAGTCAGAACTAATTCTGGCTCTCTTTTTTAGGACCTTCGAAAAATCCCACCCAGCCAACAGGCTCACAGACCCCGGAAGTATGTGACAGCAAGCTAACCTTTGATGCCATAACTACAATCAGGGGAGAACTGATGTTCTTCAAAGACAGGTCAGCTCTCACTTCTTTGTAATGTTCTGCACTTACTTCTATGAGCCACTAATACATGGGCTAATTATGCATTTGCTCACATCTATAATTATGCAGTAGCAACTGCCTGCATACAAAATATATTTGCATATGAATATATTCACATATTGTTATTCCCTCATCAGTCAGGTCATTTGATTCTCAGAACATATTGTTGTAAAAAAAAAATCAGTGAATGGGGCTGGGAAGGTAGCTCAGTGGTAGAGCGCATGCCTTGCATGCATGAGGCCCTGGGTTCGATTCTTCAGCACCACATAAGCAGAAAAAAAAAAGTTGGAAGTGGCGCTGTGGCTCAAGTGGTAGAGTGCTAGCCTTTAGCTGAAGAGCTGAGGGACAGCGCCCAGGCCCAGAGTTCAGGCCTATGACCAGACCCCCCCCCAAAAAAAAATCAGTGAATATAATCTGATTTAATTGAAGGGTAAAGTAAGGCAGAGAGAAGGGAAAAGAGACCTTGGGGGGTCACAGAGGTCACAGGTGACATAAGACTGGTTGTAACCATAGGACTTGATGTGGCTTAGTATTAAGAGAACAGTCTTACCAAGATAAACCTAGCCAGACAGTTATTTAAGAGATGACTCCAGGCAACAAGATCAATTAAGGGACTCTGAGATCACTTACACATCTCTGTATCAGGAAAACCCAGAAGGCCAGAGATAGTAACTGAGCTACCCAAGTCTCAAGCCAGGGAGAGGCAAGACTGGCCCTAGAAGTCAGGTTCTGATACCCAGGCCAGTCTCCTATGTGGTCTGGAGTCCAGAAATCTTTCCTCTCAGCCCAATGACAGTGTCTTCTGCCTGGCCAAGTTCATAGTCCCTTATGAATTGTGGAATCAGCATTGTGTTCTAATCCAAGGACTAGAAGGGAGTGGATGCATAAGCCAAAAATAAAACTAACCTTTGCCAGTAACTAACCGTGTGGCCCCAGATACCCTCCTCTCTCAACGTTGACATAGAGCAAGTCCTCATGTGGACTTTCGTAATGAGGCATGATGGATGGAGGGAAAGGCTGAGCAGTAAGTCAGCCAGCCTTCTGCACCTGGGAGCTGTACCTCTGTGCATTCAATGAACAAGCTTTTAAAATTGGAGCTGTATAAAATATGTACAGACTATTTTCTTGTCATGAGAACATTAATGAAATATAATAATTGCTTCTGGCATTTACACTGTATTAGGTATTAAGGTATCACAAAATGATTTAAAGAAGGCAAAGATATGTATGGATTATGTGATGAAATTATATACCATTTTAGATTTAAAATGGGTTTTAGATTTAAAACTTGAGCGCCCACAAGTTTTGGTATCAACAAGCAGTCTTGAGATTATTACCCACCAGATATGATACATTCCCATGGTAATGTACCATGGCTTTCTCCCAGTAGCTAACCAAAGCCAACCTAACTTGTGATGAACTTTCCAAGTAGTTTGTGAACTAGAGACATTATTAAAAGTACATTATATGAAGAAATTAAGTTATAGTTGAATAAAAATAAAAAGAATATTACCTTATACTTATTGTGTGATTTGTGTTTTTGAGGTTATTTATGCTTAATGCATTCAAACTGTTGTAAAAATCAAATGATTGTGCCCTAGTGTGACTTTTAAAATTGGCCATGGTAGGAGTTTCTCCATAGGAAAATAGGCAGATCTTCTATCACCTTCTTTGAAGAAGCAGATATTAACTATTTCCAAGTATACCATGGTTGCCAGTGCCAAGAAGGAGCTGGCTGTCAATCAGAGATTTCTAAGGATAAGACAAAAAAACCTCATTTTCTCCTCTTCTCAAATCAGGTTCTACATGCGTGCCAATTCTGTTTACCCAGAAGTCGAACTCAACTTCATTTCTGTTTTCTGGCCAAGTCTGCCAAGTGGAATTGAAGCTGCTTATGAACTTGCTGAGAGGGATGAAATCCGGTTTTTCAAAGGTAATGCTTCAGAAGATTGTCACCATGTCTATGAATTCATTTTTTGGGTTGAGGTGGGATAATGAGCATACCAGCTACAATGGCTCCATGGGGCTTTGAAAAACCTAACAGCCTTATCAGAGGTGCTAATGAAAAGGGGCCCATCAGCTTAATTTACAATTACCTCATGAATTGAGAATGAGTAAAAAGTAAAAGACTGTAGATAGATAGAACTGCTCAGGGTCTGTTTATGAATTTGGACTTTCAAGTGGGTTTTATGTATAAATTAGGTATAAAATCCTTCCATATGCTAGGGGGTACTCAGAAATAAAATTGAAAGATGGTCTAATTTTATAGAGGATAAAAGATTTTCTTTACATGGTTTCCTTTTCTCCTTCGAGGATACAGAGTCCACAGGTAGCAGAGCTGTTACTGGACTACAATCCAGGACTCTTTCCATTATTCAAATCTCTTTGATGATGAGCGTGTTTGTACTTACTATTAGTATGCTCTTTTCTGCATACTAATAGTATGCCCATGCTACTGAGCAAGCATTTTGGTATACCTGAATAGTTGTGGCTTCAGGACCTAAGCATTGGTTTATAAAAAGTGGGGCTTTAATGGCTGTAAATGTACAGCCTGTAGACAGCATATATTCACATATCTGGAACTGTACCTGATGGCAGGATGTGAATTCAGGACCACAAGTTATTCTACACCATGAGTGCCTCCAATGCTCTGCCCCTTCAGGATTCCACTTGAAACACGCTATCACTGAGGCACCACAGTGAACTCTAGCCACCAGATGTTCTGTCCCCTCCAAAGTTTGTTGTAGATTTGCCTCACCTACAACATGTTAAAAAATACAAATTGGTTTGAGACGGGTAAGATCCTAGCATCAATATTTAAAGAAAAAAACTCTCTTCCTAGAGAGTTTGCGATCTGCAGCTAGCATACTTTCCCAGTACTGAGGGACTTCAGAACGGCTGGGGATGTGGCTCACTGTCTGTAGGAGCCAGAGGCTGTCATGGCTATCTCCTGTTTGATTGGCAGGGAGTAAGTACTGGGCTGTGCGGGGACAGGACGTGCTCCGGGGATACCCCAAGGACATCTACAGCTCTTTCAGCTTCCCCAGGACTGTGAAACATATCGATGCTGCCGTTTCGGAGGAAGACACTGGGAAAACATACTTCTTCGTTGCTAACAAGTACTGGAGGTAAAGACTAAGTCACACTCACACACACACACACACACACACATATACACACATACACACACACACATATACACACATACACACACACGCACACACACACACACACACACACACACACACACACAAACACACACGCACACACACACAAATGGGATGCCAAGTCTTTCTATTTAGAATCTGAGATGAGTTTAAGATTGCCTTGGCCAGTTGCCTTTTCTGTGAGTGACTGCACCCACTTATACCCATTTAGTCCATGGCCTAGAAACTAGTGATCATACAGGTCTGAGCAAGGACTACAGGGCAGTGTGTAGTATTGAGTCTTTAAAAAAGTATCAAAATGGAGGCATTTGTTTTCATGGAGTTACACTGGCCAAAAGGAACTTGGCTTTCCCAGCACTGAACCTTACATAGTATAGAACATACTGGATGATTAAAATTAGATGTTGGATTTTAGAGGGGTATTCCAAATGCTTTAGTTCTCCTCCTCCAATCTCTAGGATGAAAATCTCTCATTAAATTCATGCTGTGGTACTTTTCCTGAAATGATTTTTAGACTGTGTGTATTTAGCAGACAGTTCTGATATTCCAAATTCCTTTTTGACCAGGTATGATGAATATAAACGGTCCATGGATGCAGGTTATCCCAAAATGATAGCATATGACTTTCCTGGAATTGGCCACAAAGTTGATGCTGTTTTCAAGAAAGATGGTAAGTGAATACAAATGATTTCCTCCACTTTGTTGTCATAGTAACTGCATTAGTATTGCTATTTGGAAGAACAGATGTCTAAAATATGTGGTAGCAACATGTGGTGCTCACAAGTTCAAGTTAATCCTAGAAACTACTTGTATAATATAGCAAATTTCTTTTTTTTCTTATAGGTTTTTTTTATTTCTTTCATGGAACAAGGCAATACAAATTTGATGCTAAAACAAAGCGAATTCTGTCTCTCCAGAAAGCTAATAGCTGGTTCAACTGCAGACAAAAATGAAAAGCTGCATCAGAGTTCATGGGAAAGATGCTTTGTGAGCCCAAGGAAGATGTATTTCTCAAGAGCCATATATTTGTTTTCAGTATTTTATTTAACTTCTAGAAGCACAGATGCACAGAACTATTTATGCTTTGCCCTGCTATTTATACTTTATTCTGCATTTTTATAACTTACAGTATAGTGTTTTATATTATGATATAATTTAGTTTCACAATCAATGGCCAAATAAAGGTCAGATTCCTGGTTGACAGGCCTACCCAAGCCAGTCTGGCAAAGAGGATCATCCACAGGATGAGTCTGATCCTGGAGTTGAGCTTCATTGATGAATATCTCAAAAGAGAGTCAAGAGACATAAACCTACACCAAAGGGGAAATGTCTCCAGAACACACAAACAACTATCCAAGGGATGACTCTTCTTATTCAAAATAAAGCATTTGATATTTGGAATAAATCCATCCTTGTCTTTGCTGCATTATTGCTGTTACATTTATCATATTGTGGTGGTCTGATGATAAAGTGAAACTTAACAGATTAATTCTCAAGTTTGGAACAATACGAAAAATGTTTATATTGGAAATTAGTATATACAAAACTTTTCAATTTCCATGGATCATGTGTTATAAAGAAGGAAGATACTCAGGAGGCTGAGATCTGAGGATTGCGGTTCAAAACCAGCCCAGGTGGGAAAGTCCATGAGACTCTTGTCTCCAATTAACCACCAGAAAACCAGAAGTGGTGCTGTGGCTTAAGTGGTTGAGGGCACGCCTTGAACTGAAGAGCTCAGAGACAGTACCCAGGCCCAGAGTTCAAGTCCCACAACTGACCAAAAAAAAAGGAAGAGAGAAATCTATTATTCTTGTTTCAAAAAGAGTCCAAACTTGTTTTTAGGGACAATAGGATAGAGCTTCCTATGGATTCATGTTCCCTAAAGTCCAGTGCTTCCACAGTACAGAAAGAGGAGACTGGCAGACAGTGGGCATCTAACTACTTCTAGCAGGAGGAGAAAGAAGGGCAGGGAAGGGATTGGGGAGGTGTGTGTGTGTGTTACGGAACTGAGAAAAGAGGAGTACTCATATTTTGCAAGGACAAAATGGCTACTAGATCTAAGCTGTATACTCTGGTTTCTCTTCAGATCGTTTACATCTTTCGCCTTTTACTAGATCTAAACTGTCACTGATATGAGTGATCCTGAAATGACATTATGATTTTACAGTCTGAGAAGCTTAAAAAGATAGGTGATAAATAGGGCTCTGACTCACAATCATCTAACAGTGACATCCTGTGCTTATTCCCTTGATCAGATTTGAACAAATCCCATTTGTTCCCTATTTCATACAGGGAGGACCAAGGAAAAGCCCTTGAAGGTTCTTTTCCCGTATTTTATATAGAAGCAGCAAAGCCCCTGTATCCTGGGAGGACTGCACAGACGGCTGTGCTACTGAAGACTTCAAAGCAAAAGGGAGGGGGAAATCCTATGACAATCTTTTCAATTAATCCTTGAAGCAGTTATAAATACAAAACAGATCATAGACCTCTGTAAACTTAGCTAAATGGGCTGGGAAGGTGGCTCAGTGGTAGAGCGCTTGCCTTGCATGCCTGAGACCCTGGGTTCGATTCCTCAGCACCACATAAGCAAAAAGAAAAAAAGCCGGAAGTGGCGCTGTGGCTCAGGTGGTAGAGCGTTAGCCTTGAGCTGAAGAGCTGAGGGATAGTGCCCAGGCCCAGAGTTCAGGCCCCACGACCGGACCCAAAAACAAAACAAAACAAAAAACTTAGCTAAATGGGTAACTACTATAACAGATATGCTTTTCTTAAGGAATTTCATACAGAGTGATATTAGAGGAGTATTTAGAGATTTCCTTTATTATCTAAGTCCACAAGTGCACTTCAGCTGATAGTTTTTCCATAGCATGAATTAGTAAATTAGTGTTAAAAATGTCTTCTCTCATATGTGGAGGCTATATATATATATTTATATATATATATATATATATTTGAATGTGATAAATATACAGGACTCTAGGCATTCACACACAGTCATACTAAAGGAAGATAACCTTAGGGGAAGCACATTAAAAATATTATTTATTGAAACAAACTCCAGGAAATGAAAAAAAAAGTATGTAAGGGGTAAACTTCTCACTTTAATCTGAGTTTGTGGTATAGAAAAATAACCCTGATCTGGAATAAAATCAGCATTTCCAGTGAAAGGAGAAGTTGCAAAATACTTGTCCATGTCATGTTGACATGGGGCCTTGTGTGCATATGGACTGTCTTTAAGTCAGAGGCCACAGGGTGTTAAAGATGAGTATCCAAGAACTGATTCAACCTGCTACATAGCCCTAAGTCTAGATACAGATTGTATGGACCACACTGTAAACAGACTGCAAATTCCTGTTTGTACCTCATCTGCGCAGCACAAGACAAGAAGAGTGGCAGGTGCCAACATGGCTAGACAGAACCCAAAAGAATCAGATAGATTAGCAAGAGGATCAGATAGAAGGACAGAACAGCAACAAAAAAGCAACAATTTATTAAAGGTAAGTTCAGTGTGTCAAAAATGAGAGAAATACAAATAATGTTAGAACCTAAAAGAAAAATGTTGGGCAAAAGCCATGGTCAAAGCCAGGAGATTTCGCTAGCACTTCTGAGCGATCTTCTACCACTGGTTAATGAGCAAACCTTGGGGTTTTTCTGTGTCTAATCTCAACCTCTTTGAGTTGTCTTATATATTAGAAATAGCATACATTTAGAACATGCCATACAAGAGATCTATGGCATACAACAGCAGATCTTTACATATGGGCCTCTCCTTTCCTTAAAATTGAATTATACAGGTCAGCTTGCCCAATTTACTATAGTAAATTTAATAAGAATTTATTTAAACACAACCAAGACCCCAGTGATTAATTTCTCCCAGGTCTAATGGTTTCATGAGGACAAGCTCACACAGTGTATCACTCCTGTGAGGCGTGTGGTTTGATGTTTAGCCAATTGCAGTCATAAACATAGCTCTCATTACTACAGAATACATTCCATCAACAGGATGTGCCAACACCAATAAAGGTATGATTCAGATGAATACGAAGCATCTCAGAACGTGTCCAGTCAATGCCTAAGGGCACTATTAGGGACTTATTCATCTTGTTGATAAAGAATTTGGAGCCCAATGAAAGGCAAGAGGCTTCTCAGCATAAGCATTTACAACAATGCTTATCAAATTCTCAAGGATGAAAAAAACAGTGTACACACGTACGTATACACACACACACACATACACACACATACTTCCTATGCTCCAAGGCCCCTCCCCTCTGATTTTCAAGCAGACAGCCAGGCCATTCTACCATGCCATGGAGCAAACTCCTCAGTACATTAAACTACAGTTGACTTGCTGGCCCAAGAAGAACCCCAACTCTGGCTTGTAAGCTTCAGAACCTCCTAGTTTCTGGACATCCTACCTGTCCAGTCTACCTCTACTCAAGTGGTGAATGGCACTGGAAAGATCATCTAAGCATTCATTAATTTCCCATACTTGGCAATGCTTTATATATGATTTGAAAAACAACTTATTCATCTTTATTGGAAGAAAAGTGTATGTCTCTTCTGCCAGAATTTCAGGGTCATTTATGTCAATAGTCTAATCTGACAGAACCGTTATCACACTTGATGTATTACAGTGTGAACTCTACCCCTCAGCCCTGTTTTTGGCTGAAGAAAGGAAAGGGTGAAGGAAGGAAAAGAAGAAATGGAAGTCATTCTATATATCGCAGTTCAACTCTTCCTTTGTACTATGTGAGGAAAAAGAAAGGATGAAACTAGCTTTGAAAAACAGAGAAGAATATGAAGATAGAAGGGCCATCTTAGTTCAGATGTCATTTATTTTAACTTAAGTTTTAAGGGAGCACTATGACCATGTCAGCCATTCTAAAGTACAGGATGTGTGAACACCACAGTTCCCTCTTTTGAATCTTTCCTTGAATCTTCCTGATGCTGTTCATGCCCTTCTCCCTCTCAAAATATTTCTGCTCCAGGGCTGAAAATCAGAAATACGTGTTGTAAATGAAGACCCACAAAATGAAGTCTGAGCAAGGAGACAGACACTTCCTTGATAGCAATCCCCACATTAGACCACGGTTATATTTGGAAATTGTATCCGTTCATCTATTCATTCCTGACCTTTTCATATTTGAGTTCACAATGCAGTGTTTTTAAAGAAAACTGCACTGCTTTAAAAATGTTTAGACATTTGGTGTTTCTCCAGGCATTTTGATGATCTCCTAGTAAATAAACAAATATGAAGCATCCAACCAGTTCTTTTTCCTCTTTGCAAACACAGAAACCACTTCCTGGAGATTAGTTGTTGAGTCAAGTTTAGTAGGTTGAGGGGAATTACTGATGCAGGCTATATCATCTTCATATTGAATTTTTGTGAATATGCTTGTCGTCATTCTGATTTAAAATAAAACAACATATCTGTGAATCATGCTGTTGGTGATCTAAACATTGTTTCTCTATAAAAGGGTGGCCACTAGAAGGTAGAGAAAGAAGGCAGTAGATAGAAAAAGGATTTTCTTAAGGCAAAAGCAGTCAGAATGAAGAATGCAGAGTGCTTCAGAATGAAGTGCCTAGCCATCCTCGTGCTGCTGGGTCTACCCCTCTGCACAGCGCATCCCCTGCATGGGGCAGTGAGAGAAGAGGAGCAGAAGACCATGGATCTTGCTCAGGTATTTAATGGTAGCATCCACTGTAGCCTTATGGATGGTCCATGAGAAGGACTAAGTGTGTATACTTGGTTCTCCAACACAAAACAGAATCACTTGGTTGGGAATTATTGTGTTGGAATTGTTCGTTTAGCAGTAGAGATTGCTAAAGTGCTAGAGGTGGAAATGCCCTTCATTTAACAGAGAAAGAAAAGCATAGGAAGTGGAGGCCATCTCTCAGGGTTAGAATAAAACAATGACTGTGGCCTTGAGGATAAGTGAAAAGAACAAAAACAAAACAGATGAAGCCTCCCATGTCAGATCTACTTTGATAGCTCTAAATTGATGACAAAACCGCACTAGTTTTGATCCTCAAAAAAAGTCAGTAAATTATATTTATATTATTATTTGCTATGTGGGGACAAACAAATTAATCTCACAGCAGTCTTGAAGCAGATCTATATTGGTAATGGAAAAAGTTAGATTATATTTATCCAAAAAAGAATTTACATATTATCAATTTATTTAATTAACTAATAAGTTAATTGCAATGAAATTGTAAAATAAAACATCTTAGTGACAGATCAGATTGTTA